CCTTCCTTTTGTCTGTAACCTTTTACTGCAAGTCTTGCTTTATACTTGTCTATTGAACCATCTGCCTTCCTTTTCTATTGAATATCCATTTATATCAAACAAATTCTCTCATTTTCTTTATTTCTTTATATTCTTGTTGTTGTTTTGTACACAACAGAATTTAATCTATTTAATTACAGTGAAGATTGTCCAACAAACTCTACTCCTCACACTATTTGCTTAATGTGGTAAAATGATATTGCTCTTCATTGCAGATGAGTGACAGAATTTTCTTGCTCGGATTGGTCGCGATGAAAATGCAATTGACTCAGAACTTTTTGACAATCCCAGTGATATCCTAGAACTTCGGTTTTGGGCTTCATACCGAGGACAAACTTTAGCTAGAACTGGTAAATGCTTTCTATTTTTGCGATTTTTCTTCACTTAATCTTATTATTGAATTGATAATAGTCAAAAAAGTATATCTTATAAACAAATTAGGATGAGGTGTTCTTTTGGAAAAAGCAGAGAAAACACAAGAAGGAAATGCAATTAAACATCCAGGTCACCTTGAAGCTCAAGTGGGCTAAAAAACATTCCTTAACAGCAAGAAGATGTTTCCTTCTGGCTGGAGCTTATGCTTCCTTATTATCTGATCTGAGAATTTATGTGTCCCTTATTTTTGCCAAAATCGACATTTATTATTCTAAAACCTAACAATAATTATTTGAGAAAGCCAACCCTTCTATGTACTGCTTGATACAATCTTTAGTATCTGATATCTAATTGGCATCACAATAACCTTCGAGTACTGCTGGATATCGAGTAAAGTTCAAACCATGATCACAGGTAAATTTTAGATATCTAAGAACTCAAATGACCGCTTTCCAATGGTCTTCTCCAGGGTTACTAGTGTACCTACTCAATTTACTGACATCATAAGCTATATCAGGACGAGTACAATTTATTAGGTACATTAGGCTTAAAAAATTTGGGAGTATTTTAACTGAGACACCGTATCACCTTTATTTTTCGATAAATAAATACTGATGTCTACCGGTGTTCTAGCTACATTCAAATCATCCTTGATAAATTTATCAAGAATTTTCTCAATAGAATGTGATTGAGATAATGCATATTCGTCAGATGTTTTAGTAATTTTCATTCCTAATATTACATCTGCGATCCCCATATCTTTCATATCAAATCTTTTGTTCAGCATTTGCTTAGTTAATTTGATCATGTTTTGACTACTTCCAATGATAAGCTTGTCATCCACATAAAGACAAACTATGACATATCCTTGGTCAGTGTTTTTAACATAGACGCACTTGTCACATTCGTTTATCTTAAACCCATTAGTAAGCATAGCACGATCAAATTTTTCATGTCATTGCTTAGGTGCTTGTTTTAATCCATAAAGAGATTTTACAAGCCAACAAACTTTCTTTTCTTGCCCCGGTACTACAAACCTTTCAGGTTGCTCCATATAGATCTCTTCATTTAGAGCACCGTTTAAGAAAGCTGTCTTAACACCCATTTGATGTATTTCTAAATTATACAATGCTGTTATGGCAATAAGCATGCGGATGGATGTTATTCTTGTCACATGAGAATATGTGTCAAAATAGTCCAGACCTTCCTTTTGTCTATAACCTTTTACTGCAAGTCTTGCTTTATACTTGTCTATTGAACCATCTGCTTCCATTTTTCTATTGAATATCCATTTATATCAAACAAATTCTCTCATTTTCTTTATTTCTTTATATTCTTGTTGTTGTTTTGTACACAACAGAATTTAATCTATTTAATTACAGTGAAGATTGTCCAACAAACTCTACTCTTCACCCTATTTGCTTAATGTGGTAAAATGATATTGCTCTTCATTGCAGATGAGTGGCAGAATTTTCTTGCTCGGATTGGTCGCGATGAAAACGCAATTGACTCAGAACTTTTTGACAATCCCAGTGATATCCTTGAACTTCGGTTTTGGGCTTCATACCGAGGACAAACTTTAGCTAGAACTGGTAAATGCTTTCTATTTTTGCGATTTTTCTTCACTTAATCTTATTATTGATTTGATAATAGTCAAAAAAGTATATCTTATAAACAAATTAGGATGAGGTGTTCTTTTGGAAAAAGCAGAGAAAACACAAGAAGGAAATGCAATTAAACATCCAGGTCACCTTGAAGCTCAAGTGGGCTAAAAAACATTCCTTAACAGCAAGAAGATGTTTCCTTCTGGCTGGAGCTTATGCTTCCTCATTATCTGATCTGAGAATTTATGTGTCCCTTATTTTTGCCAAAATCGACATTTATTATTCTAAAACCTAACAATAATTATTTGAGAAAGCCAACCCTTCTATGTACTACTTGATACTGAATCCAGTACTCGCTGGTCTAGTGAAATCAAATGTAATTTCTCCATTATTGTCTCTATTGGGTCTATTGAAATCAAATGTAACTTCTCCATTATTGTCTGTATTGAAACAATTATATTGTCATTAATTATTTTTATTTTGTTATTTTCAGATATTTTCGGAGTAGCAGTTTGCTTCTTGTGGAATGCAGGCGTGTAAAGATTATGACTAAGGCCAAGTTTGGAAAGTTGCAAATAATTCATCTTTTTATCTTTTTATATTTTTTCCATCATATCACCTCTATACTTTTCTGCACATTTTTTTCGTAAAAAGACAAAAAGTACACTTATTTAGGTCATCCCAAACAACCCCTAACTTTTGTTTTTGTAACTCACGGAAGAATCATGACGAAAACTTTTGTTTTTGATTTACGTTATTTAGATTTATGAACAACATTATGTATGTATTATGCAACATTATGTAGTGGGATAATTTTGCTGATGTATTGTTATGAATGGAAGAATATTTTAATTATGGATGAATTTTTATTTTTATACTAGACTTTATATATTATTATGTAATTATTAGTTTTTTTATAGTTATTTTTTATTTAATACAAGTCATTTTTATATTTTTAATAATTTTATTATAGTTTTTTTTTTTTTGAGACGGCACTGCACACACCGTCTCAAAAAGAAAAATAGAACTAGAGTTTTTTGCCACGGTAGCAATATAGTCACAAAAGATTGGGAAATTGGATGAAAAGGAAGACCTTTAGCGACGGTGTTATTTGCAGTCGCCAATAGTACTTTAGCAACGGCATCAGGTGCTGTCTCAAATAACCCTTCAGCAATGGTATTTTTGCCGTCGCAAATAACCCTTTTAGCGACGGTAACACAGTGTCGTCTCAAAAAAACTCAGATTTTCATGCGTTAATACCGACAGTATTTTTCCGTCGCAAAAAGGCATTTTTGCCGTCTCAAAAAAAGGCGACGGCGTTATACTGTCGCTAAAACCCTTTTGCAACCCCCTTTGTTGTGACCCCCCACTTGCCGTCGCAAAAGGCCAATTACCGTTGCAAAAAATCTTCTGAGACCACGTTTTGGGTATTTGCGACGGAATTTTACCGTTGCAAAAAAGCAATTTTTTTGTAGTGCTCCCTACACTACAAATCTTATGACATTTTATTGCATCCAAACAAGGGTTTGGTAAGTCCCATGGATTGGTAATCCAATCCACCCTCTCAAACACCCAATCAAACATGGCCTATATGTTTCATACATAATCTAATTTTGTGTAAATCCCTAACAGAGTAGTAATGAAAAGGGCTAAGTGTGACAAAATAATAATTGGAGTTTTGAAAATGAGTCATAATTTTTAAAAAAAATTTAAGTGTTTGGTTTGGATTTTTTGAATTAAGTTTTTTAAAAACTGAGTTTCGTTTTCGTGTTTTTTATTTTTATTTTTAGTGAATATTTTTAAAGTTTGAAACATCTTTTTATTTTTATTTTTTTACATGCACCTTACTTAGATGTATCTAAAAAGTAAAAAAATTGTGAAAGAATATTTTTAAAAATTAATAAATACATAAAAATATAAAAAATGTACTGAATTCTCTTATTTTTTTGTATTTTTGGTATTTACTGAATTTTTAAAAGATTTTTTTCAAATTTTTTTTACTTTTTAAGTATATGTATGTTAGGTATGTTTAAAGATTAAAAAAATTGTTAAAAATATTTTAAAAATTCAGTAAAACAAAAAAACACGAAAATAAAAAAGTAAAATTTTCTAAAAAGTGTTTTTAAAAAATGATAACCAAGCATATCATTGTAATTTAAACTTTTTGTTATTATTTATGTCTCATTTTGAACTCAATATTTTAGCTAAAAGCTAAAAATTTACAAAAAAAAAAAAAAAAAAAACCAACAACTAATACTAAAAAGTCAAAAAAAAAATTATTCTCCCTACTTTTTAACACATTTTTTTATAAAAAAATAAAAAATCATTTCAAACATATTATTTTTTTATCTTATATTTTTTTAAAAAAATTAAAAATTTAATTAAAATATATCTTATTAACAAACGCAGCCTTGATTGTTGAGATTGTCAAATCAGAATGTAACTTTTGTGAAGGTCAAAGGAGGTTTTAGTTGTTTTGATTCTGTTTTTGTTAAATATGAAATTTATACGTTAGGCATGTGAATTAGAAATTATTTTTATTATAAAAGATAAAAAAATTAAAATAAAACATAATTATTTTAAATTATAATCATTACAACTTTTTTTAAAAAAATAAAAAAAATACTAAAAAATTCGTCCATATTTTAATTCCAAGTTAATTTTTTAATTTAGTGTAAATTAAAATAAATTTCTGCACAAATTTATTAATTTTCTTTTTATTTCAGTTAGTTTTTCATTTCTTTTTCAAATCCATACATAAATCCATCATCCAACCAAATGATTTTTATAAATATCTATAAATAGGCGTTTGATGAGTTTGATAAAATCAGGTTAATAAAAAAAATTAACATTGAACTAAACCTTTTTTTACTTTGTTAAATTTTATTAGATTCACATTAGACTTGAAGGATTATAAAATTCAGAATGACAAAAAAAACAGGAAAAAAAGAACCAAGGCTTTAAAATGTCTTTTTCAAAAAATGCTAAGAGCTCAAAATATTTTATTATTATTTTTATCAAATCTTTGATATATAAATTTCACATCCATTTGACGCATTTGATAATCCTCCGCACGTTTGATAAAAATATTAATAAAATATTTAAATTTCCTAACATTACTCGTCTTTTTAATCCACCAAATCCAGCCCTAAAAATTGGAAAATCTAAATACCTAGACTACCCTCCAGTAAATATTTAATTCCCCTTTCTTTAATAATCCTAAATTAAAAACAAAAATGGTTACACGCAAAGGGGATTGATTGATTGAATTACTTTTGAAACAACAGAAGATGCGGAGGGATGATTCTCTGGGACGCAGGCGATCAACATCGAGAGCAGCTGGAGTTGCGCTTCGCTGCCTTGCCATTGGACGCACCATCTCGTGCCCTCTTCTTAACCGTTGGATCTTCCCTCTCGTAGTAGTTGGCAAGATCTGCACCGAACGTTTCCATGAAACTCCTCTGTAGGTCCTCCAAACTCTCCACCTGACCCCCAAAAGGAAAAACAATTATGCTGTGGCCCAATTATTACAATTCGTTTGTGAACTTTTTTTTTCCTTCATATTTTAATATATATATATTTTTTTTTCTCTTTCCAGAAGTGATCAAAAAAAATTGATTAAATTATGAAAAAAATTACCACAAGCAAACAAAAATACTTTGATATGCTTCATGTGGAATTTGGATAGTAATTTGAAAAATGAATTATGAAACATAATTTCTTTTTTCTATTTTCAAATCCCATAATTATATTTCACACAATTCTCTTTCCGTTTCAAAACTTTTTTTTTGAATTCATAAATAAGAATGTTGTCAGATAAAATAATTAAAAATATTAATAAATATTAATAATTAAAATTATAAACTTTCTCATTCATGTGTAATAATTTTCACTAAATGGTAATTACCTATTTTCGTATTCTGGTCAAAATTTTTTTTTGATATATCTAGATTAAGAGGGTGTTTAGATAATCTACAAGTATATTTTTTTTTAATTTTTTAAAAAAAAAACAAAACAAAACAAACAAACAAACAAAATAATACAAAAATGATATGACTTAAAAAAAAAAAATACTAATATAAAGAATCAGTAATGGTACAAAGCCCGAATATAGGGACTCGAATTTGACTCGAAATTAGGAGGAAGGAGGAGGAGAACTGGACTGGAGAAGCCAACAAAATCAGGCCAAGGTGGAGGTAGAGATGGAAGCGGGGCTGCGATGTCGACGAGCGACGAGCTGCGAGATCGGCCGACGAATTAGGACGCCGACAGCCGACGAGCTGCGACGACATCTCTCTCGCCTCTGTGTTCTCTCTCTCGCCTCTGTTCAACTCAACGAAGAAGAAGAAAGAAAAGGAAGAGAAGAAAAGGAGAAAGAAAGAAAAAAAAAAATCAAAACCCAAAACGACGTTTTGGGTTTTGAGCCAATTCGAATCCCTAATTTCGGACTCTCAAACATTATTCTATAAAGAATGTATTTAAAAAATAAAAAATTTAAATCAAATACTCCTATAAAAAATCAGTAAAGATAAATGAAAATCTTATTTAAAAATAATTTTTGAAAAGTCAAAATCAAACAGTCAGAGAAATTCTATACCTCGCCAGTGACTTTATTGTTGTCCATCATCTTGAACAGATCATACATGAAATCACCCATTCCCTGTTTCAAAATTCATCAAAATTTAGGGGGCAAAAAATAAATAATAATAATAAATATATCTTCCAAAAGATATTGATCGATATTGCCAAGATTGATTTCATCATAAAACAAGGTAAATGATGTCGCTTTGAGAATGCCTTGGCAACAAACAAACAAAAAAAATCGTTGATTTTTTTACTCCACTGACTTGGTCGTCATCATCATCAAACAGATCGAGGACCCCAGCGTCGTACATTGATCTTTTGCTCTCATCTGACAAGACTGCAAAAAAGAACAAAACAAACTCCGCATTAACGTCCGTCCAAAATACCAAACAAAAGTTGCAAAAGCCGTTAAAATTCCATCACGCAACCTGTATAGGCCTCTTGAATATTCTGAAACCGGCGGTTCGCTTCTCCGGCCACCCCAGGGTTCTTCGCCCACCGGTCCGGGTGCCATTTCTGCAGAACAACCACCAAAACCATCAAATCATACACATACACATACACATACACATACACATACAAGTATGAATTATATATATGAATTTGTATATATGTATGAAATTAGAGAATTTAAAATCGGAAGGAGTACCAGAGCGAGCTTGCGATAAGCTGTGCGAATGTCGGAGAAGGAGGCGTCCTTACGAATCCCGAGGATGGAGTAGTAACAAGATCCGTCGGATCCTCCTTCTCGATCCATTTCTGTCTCCTTCTTCTTCTTCTTCTTCTTCAACGAGTCTCACTGTAATTGTTACATGTAGATATAGATATAGATACAGAGAATGAAAGGGAGGGATTTTTTTTAGAGAGAGAGAGAGCGCGAATGAGGTAGAAGTTTTGTTAAGGTTAAATTTCTGCAGAATGGGGCGAAAATATCTGCTGAGAGAGAGAGAGAGAGAGAGAGAGAGAGAGAAGCTGACGCGTGGAGGAAAGTTCGAGAATTTCACTGTTTAGACACCAGAGAGATATTTTATAAGTCGGTATATGTAATTGACCCTGAGGTTGAGACAAATTACGAACTGGCCCATGGAGGTTCACACGTTTTTTTGTTCCCTTCCTGTGTCGCTTGTCAATGGTCGCAATTGTACGCGAGTTTTTTAAATTTTTTTAGAAAATGTTATTCATAAAAAGATATTCATCCTTCAATTTTGTTATCCAAATTTAAATTAGGTAGATTAGAGTAACTCTGATCATTTTTTTTTATTTTTTTTGCTAGTTAAAATATAAAAATATTATATTTTTTATTTTATCTAGTTGCTTGAATAAAAATTGTTAAGCGCTGATATTTTATTAATGTCGATTTGTAATAATATTTTTTTAACATGTTTTAAAAATTATATATTTTTATTTATTTGTTTATTTTGAGAACAAAGCAAAACATATATATTAAGGGCTGGTTTGGAAATTTTAAAAAAAGTCAAAAAGTTATCAAAAAAGTTAAAAAATTATTACTATTTATCCAAAAAAAAATTAATATACATAATATTAAAATATAAATCAACTTCACACCATTCTAGGGGCTGACGTCAAAGCAAAGGCAGTGAAAGGAAAAAAAATTACATGTGTATATTCACTACGTTTGATGGTAAAGTTGGGCCCATGGAGGCCCACCATGGGTCCCTTTTTGATAATCTGAACCGTTTAATATGTAGAACTCGTCTAGTACTATATGTCTGTAAAAAATCACGTCTATCGGATATCGCTAACTATATGATCAAATCAGTTTTGTATAAAAAATAGATGGTGTTATAATTAACAGTTGACAAAAAAAAACTAACATGATTAGATAGCTATCGTTATCCAGTCAACGTGATTTTTTTCAAGAATATAGTACCCGACGAGTTCTACACATTGAACGGTTCCGATTAGAAAAAAAGGACCCATGGTGGCCCCCCATAGGCCGAACAACACCGTCCAATTAAAGCCCGAAAAGGAGGCAATCTTTTCCCATCTTCTACCCAGCCGACTGCCGTGCCCAACCCGTACGACCTACTTCACTATCTTATCCTACACACTTATTTATACAATTTTTTAATACACATTTTTTCATAAAAAGTCAAAAAGTTAACCCAAACATTCATATGTTTTTCCTCAATTTTTTAATCCAAAAAGACAAAAAGTATACTTATTTAAAATACCCCAAACAACTCCTTATTTGAAAAATTGTTTACATCTTTAGTAAGCTGATGTGCAGGATGTGAGTCCGGATCCTCTCCAGCCAAAGTTTCCAACCGGTCCTCTGGTCAATGGCTTGGATCTTGCCACGTCACCCCACTCAGAAAGAACGGCCCAGATCAACGAAAAAAAAAAAACACAAATTTCAAATTTCCCACAAAACAGAGCTCCTCATTTTCAATCTGTAAACAAAAAAAAGAGAGAGGGAGAGGGAGAGGGAGAGGAGACACCGTCCATCTGCCATCGTTGTTGGACCACCAGCCACCATTCCTCACCGGCGACCACCGTCCATCTGCCATTCCTCACCGGCGACCACCAGGTTGAGAAACTAAAGTAGATTTGCAAGAAAAAAAATTAGGGCTTTGATTTGGGGCTTTACTTTGATTTGGGGCTTGCAATGCATATGCATATATGATGTATGCATATACATATATAATGTATATATATACATAAAATGAGGAGCTGATAATGTATATAAACAAAAAAGCCGTCCATTTTGGATCTGTAAACACAGCTATGGATTTTCAAATTTCAGATGCTCATAATGTATATAATATATATATATATACCACTGTCCATCTGCCATTGTTTTTTTTTTTCTTTACATGCTCATAATGGTTCATTAAAATATATATATATATATATATATATTTCACTACTCACTAAAAATATATAATTTTTTCTTTTATTTTTAGTAAATTACAAATATTTATCCTAAAATTTACTTAAAGTATGGCTTGTTTCTTATAACTTTAAAAATTATATCACACTTCTTCAAGTTTTCAATTCCATAACAATCATCTCTTTTAATAATAAATTATCAAATTAATTAATAGCTTTTAATAATATTATAAATATATTTTAATTAATAATTCAAATACTTTTATTGTTGTATAGGTGAGTAGTTTGGAAATTTTTTTTGTTAATTCTAATAAATAAATAATTGTGATAAGGTGATAGTATTTGTAATTTTTAAATTTACAAAGAATAATCTGTATTTTAAACAAATCTGAAGACGGAGTATTTTTAATTTACCATTTTTTTTATTTTGTAATTTATTACACCAAGACCCCTCAATTATTAACAAATATTGTTTTACCGTCTCAATCCCTTCAATTATAAAAATTATACAAATACATATTTTTTTAGAGGTAAGTTTTATAAGATTCTTTAGAACTTTAAAATTTTACAGTTTCATAATATGTTTTTTAATTTTTTTTTTTTTCATAACATTTTTTTTTTCTGCTATACATTCTTTATAACATTTTTTCCGACGAAGAAGATGAATGGATTTACTTAGATCTGATATAGATCTACTCAGATCTACGTCAGATCTGAGTAGATCTACACAGGTTTGGTTAGATATCCGTCTTTCCCCTTCGATCTCTTTTTTTTTTCTCTCTTTGCTATACACTTCTGTTTTTCTGTTCTAATGGAGAAAATTTTCTAATTCTGAACAAGCCGTTTTCGAGTTTTAGTTACAGGTAGTGAAAACTGTAAAATTTTGCAGTTTTAAATTTTTTTTTTGGTGCTGGAATGAATCATGGTTTAAAACTGTAAAATTTTGCAGTTTTATAACATTCTTTAGAACTGTAAAATTTTACAGTTTCATAACATGTTTTTTAATTTTTTTTTTTTTCATAACATTTTTTTTTTCTGCTATACATTCTTTATAACATTTTTTCCGACGAAGAAGATGATATATTTTCCGACGAAGAAGATGAATGGATCTACTTAGATCTGATATAGATCTACTCAGATCTGAGTAGATCTACACAGATTTGGTTAGACATCCGTCTTTCCCCTTCGATCTCTTTTTTTTTTTTCTCTCTCTGCTATACACTTCTGTTTTTCTGTTCTAATGGAGAAAATTTTCGAATTCTGAACAAGCAGTTTTCGAGTTTTAGTTACAGGCGGTGAAAACTGTAAAATTTTGCAGTTTCAAATTTTTTTTTTGGTGCTGGAATGAATCATGGTTTAAAACTGTAAAATTTTGCAGTTTTATAACATTCTTTAGAACTGTAAAATTTTACAGTTTCATAACATGTTTTTTAATTTTTTTTTTCGGCAATATTCTAGACATTCCGGTGAGTCTCCGGCGACCGTTAAACGGAAGTCCGACGGTAGTAAGATGTGAACAGTGTCTATAAATTAAAAAAAAAAAAAAAAGAATTTTTTGGTAACAATTAAAAATGTGTTGGACTAATTGGTGCAAGTATTTTGTTTTGGGATTAATTGGATTTTGAACTTGTTACATGGGACTTATCAGTAAGTTCCCCATTTTAATTGATCACAAAATATCCATATGCAAGCAATGAACCATTATCTTTTTCTTTTTTTTTTCTATAATGGGTCATTAAGGAAGGTGTTATTTCCATGATTTACGCACTGAAATAATTCAAGCAAACCTGGAACTTTTCAAACATCACTACATGGAGCAGAAGCTATTATAATTTTTAGGAATTAATGAGTATTGGTTTTTGGAAACTGTTTATTCTACCCAAAAACATACGAGATGAAACAATATTTCAAACACATTTGGTGAAACTATTTTTGAAAAGTATTTTCGATAAAATTTCCTAAAAAATGCACACAGCACATAATCAAATATATATATATATATATGAATGAAAAGTGTTCTTTCCTATCATATTTCATGTATAAATGAATGAATTTTTTGAATGTAACAACAAAAATGGGAACAATAACACAAGATTTGCAAAGGGACTGGAACATCACCAGCAAAACTTGCAGCTGAATTGCTTTCTCGCCGAGGCTCTGGTTCGCGGTCGCCGGAGCCGGAGCGTTGATGTTCACCGCCATCAAGGTCCGCCGCCGTCGATGTTTGTTGCCTTCGCCGCTGTCTATTTCACAAGAAAGATGTTGCTGGTGAAAGAACTCAATGGGAGGGAAAAGAGGAAAAGACGCTAAATGGAAGGGAAATTACGGAGCTCTGTTTTGTGGGAAATTTGAAATTAGTTTTTTTTTTTTTTTTGTTGATCTGGGCCGTTCTTTCTGAGTGGGGTGACGTGGCAAGATCCAAGCCATTGACCGGAGGACCGGTTGGAAACTTTGGCTGGAGAGGATCCGGACTCGCAGGAAGTACCATATCTCTCTGCACCTTAGAGATGGATACACACTGCAAGCACTTTCACCAACACCTTTCAATCAGTAAAAATTGATACACATTGCAAGCCATATTCCTTAGCCCAACATAAAGCTTTGAGGCAAGAAAAAATTGTTTCAAACCACTAATTCAATACTATTAATACATAATTAATGACATGACATTATGTGAATTTCACTACTGATGTGATAGTTTGACCTTTGTTTATTTATTCTTGCTTTTTTCTTGCACTGCCAACTCATTAAAGCTAACATTAATATCACTATTTTAGAACACTGAATCAGTGCGGTTAAGCAAGCCACCACTTCACACCCATGCTGCACCTGCTTTGTACCCCTCCCTACGCCAAGAGCCATCGATAATCAACATCTGTACCTGAAAATTAACACTGTTATTCAAAGAATTAGACAAAACACAACAATTAGAAGCCGCATTACCTAGATCCCCCAAATCAGTGCGATCTCTGGTTATCAATTTAAGAACAGAAAGAACACAAATTAACTAAGCAAAAACCTTACAAAGGTCAAGGAACAAATTGGGGGAGGCTGGAAATCACAAATAGTAAAGTTGGGAATAAACTTCAAAAAGATAATGTTAATTATAAAATGATAATGATTCATTCCTTAATTTTGTTGTCCAATTTCAAATTAGGGAATGTTCAAAAAATTTCAAATTAGGGAGGTTAAAAATGAGAGGGAGAGGAGTACGTGATCGTTTTATATGGAGGTGAACCATCTCATTAGAGATGGAATTAAAGGGATAAAATTAAGGGCATATAGCATTACTCTTCATAAAATTCATAGGAAAAATTTACAAAAATGATGTAATAATATCATTATTGTAATCTTTAATGATATTTTATTTTGGAGTGAAATATCCACAATAAATAATATTATTATGTATAAATTTTTTATTCATATAACAATACTCTTTTTTAATTTTGACATTAATTATTTAGACATTATTCAAGTACACCGTGTATGATTTATACTCGGGAAATCCTAATATGCACTCCTAATTATGTCATTTTGTGTTTTAGTTATGACCATTTTTTTTTCTTTAGTTATTATGCCTCATATTATATATAGTTATGATATTTTTTTCTTTTTTTTTAGTTATGACTCAAAAAATTGAAGTTATATCATTTTCCTTTTTAATTATAAGGTGCATATGGTACACACCTTTTGAAGGATTTGCACCCTTTGAAGGATGTGCACCATAGTATTTCCCTTCATACTCAAAATAATCGATAATTAAGGCATAACACAAGTTTTAATTTAGCAAAATATTTAAGACTCATAAAAATTCTCTCATAATTTATACCCTATAATGATATAACATGGTAGATGTTAACTTTTGATTTACCCCTCTCAATTGTGTAGGGCCTATCCCCTTGTCATACCATTATAAGGGAATTTAGGGGTGTAATGGCTCTCTCTAGCCCTTCTCTTTAATTTATTATGTTCAGATTGGACATTAAGCTTGGATTAAAGGTTGAATTTTTAGTAACACTGCATAACTCAAACAGAATTGAATTGTACCCACTTTAAACCATAAACTGGTTAAAAAGGGTGAAGTTGCCTTGGGCTTGCACATGGGTGAGGGTTATGCAAAATAGAAGTAGCACATCCATAAGCAATAGAGCCCATAGTTTTAAGATTCAATGCTAACATCAGCCACTAGTTAATAGTAGTTTCACTTAATCATTGTTGAAATAATAAGGTAAAAATTCTAATTTAACATATTACAATAGGAGCCATCACAACAGCCACATTATAATAATCCACTCCAAAACTTTCTTTAACATGTCAAAAAATTGCTAATGTATTCTCCTGTGCAAATTGACAAGCCACTAAAGAAAGATTGTTTTTAGTGAAACTGTAATTATTTAACAATACAGGTCATTATAACTACTCACTGGAGTTTAAGGACAATAAACTGCAAAACTAGTTCCGTTTCATATATTTCTAAAGACTTATCTATTGTTATAGACTTGACACATTTTATACAATTTTTTATGTGTATATCGAAGCTAATGATAGCATTTTCCTACAGACTGAATAACTGAGAAACAATACAAGGACTAGAGAGGCTAGTGCAGTATTGATAAAGAAATTCACTCAGGTATCAAGTTCACCAAAGCCACCAACCACAACAACAGCCACAAGTGTGATGCTCTACATATATTCATGAAAATGTAAGAATTCATTTATGCTGTGTTTGGTTGAGGTTTTTGGGGTGGGATTTGGAAAAAGAATGAGAAATGTAATCCTATTTATGTTTGGTTATAATAAAAAATATATGGGAAAAGAAAGGGGGTGAGAAATAAATAAAGAAATAGGAGACATTTTAGGACATCAATTCTATTTTATAACCAACACAACCAAACCTAGTTGGGATTTGGAATTCTATTAATTCTTTCTCATTTTCCTTTCATTTCCATTTCCCTTTCCATTTCCCTTCCCAAATCCCCCAACCAAACACAACATTAGAATTTCAAATAGGATTACAATAATATTGCTCCGAAAACAGAAATATGTACAAGCACCAAATTTGCATTTGATTCAAGAAGGGAAGCCATGATAGCAAAAGGCATATTAGCCACAAAAACTAAGCTATATGTTAGAATTTACCATTCACACTCACCTACTACACTCCACCTACCACCAATTTACCCTCACCTACTCCTCACCTACTACCCAAACCCTCTCCTATATAATGCCACTCTGATTTGTAATCAATACATCAATCAATAATACAATTCTCTTTATACATTGATACATTGTATTTCAACATGGTATCAGAGCGGGTTTAGAACCTAGAATTTTTTCGCTTCACCGGCGGGCGGCAACCTCACCTTAGCCGTCCGCCGGACCTCACCCTAATCCGCTAAAATTTTCTACACATACCTTGAAATTTATTCGAGTCCACCAACACCACTGCACAATCCTCTGCTCGTCAACCTTTTGTTTCCAACTTTTTATCAGCCACCATGAACACCAAGATTGGCTCCTTAAGAGTTCCACCAGCTTCTCTACCTGTATTTCCTGTCCTCTTCATGATTGTCCTCGCACCCGTCTACAACCATATCATCGTCCCATTTTCCAAGGCAGTAACCAAAACCGAAATGGGTATCACTCATTTACAACGAATTGGGACAGGGCTAGTTCTTTCTATCGTGGCCATGGCCGTTGCAGCTCTGGTTGAACTAAAGCGAAAAAGGGTCGCAGTCCAATCTGGTATTGTGAACTCCACTGAGCCTCTTCCCATCACATTCCTTTGGATCGCTTTGCAATACTTGTTTTTAGGATCGGCTGATCTCTTTAGCTTGGCTGGCATGATGGAATTCTTCTTCACAGAAGCCCCCTTCAGCATGAGATCTTTGGCCACAGCTCTGTCATGGGCCGCCGAACGAACCCAGAACGGGCTCCGCACCGTCCTCACCCGCCACGAGCAAGGCGGCATCTTCACCGCCGGGGGCTACGCCCGCGCCTCCGGCCTCCCCAGTGTCTGCATCGCCACCTCCGGCCCTGGCGCCACCCCCCTAGTCCGCGGCCTCGCCGACGCCATGCTCGACCGCGTCCATGCAGCATACCATCAGTACCTCTTGCGCGCTACTGCCATTAAAGCTTTGGGCTCTTTCCGCAGCAACCCCACCAACCCTTTTATTTTCTTTTTTTCTTTTGGGTTTCCCACCCACGAGAGCACATGTTGTTTTTGCGAAGAGTCAGCCAACCTGGCATCTACATTCCTCTCTCTCACTTTCTTTTTTTTTCAAACCCACAGCTCTTTTTTCTTTCACCACATGCTTCCCTTTCTTTTCTTTTTTTTATTTTTTTTTTTTCACTTTCAAACCCACTATTCTTTTTTTAATCCACCCACTCAACTTTCTTTTATTTTTTAATTTATATCTATATATGTTTATTATACACTATTGCACAGATTCTCTGTCTACTTTTGCCCATCCCATTTTCTTTTCTTCTTTTCTTTCTTTCTTTATTTCTTTCTTTTCATTTCTTTATTACATCTATACCCATATCCATCATCACACTATTTATTTATTTATTTCTTTTCATCACCTTTTGCACCTCCCTCCCCGACTCCCTCACCACACAATCGAATTTTTATTTATTTATCTTATCTTTTTTTTTGTGTTCCCTTTTTCACACAAAAAAAAAAACAAAAAAACAAAACAACAACAACAAAACCATTACAGGTTTTTTCAAACCGTGGGCCACAAACCTTTTTTCCTTATTCTTTCTTTGCAACCACAAAAAAAAAAAAAAAAAACAAAACAAAAAAAAAAAAAAAAAAAAACAAAAAAAAAAAAAAAAAAAAAAAAAAAAAAAAAAAAAAAAAAAAAAAAAAAAAAAAAAAAAA